CAGAGATACTTGGAAAGATCCACAAGGACTTACATATAAGGATGTTTATCTATATATAGTTTGGGTAGCAAGAAGCTGGAAGCAACTTAGATGTCCATCCCTAGGGGAATTGATAAGTAAAATGTGGGTATATGCTTATGATGGAATATCATAAAAAAGTCAGATGCAAGCTGTTAGGAAGTTAGCAGCATGATAAATTCCAGGTGAGGAAAATAAGGAACAGTGAAATTTATAGCAAAAGTTAGTTAAGTAAATTACACACAGAAAGCAACATTATTTTTTTAAGGAGGGCATACACCTTAACTCTAGACTAGAATAGGGTCTGTGAGAGGGAACAGAAAGGGGCTAGAACGTGGAATGAAGGAGGGAAAGGGAAACCAAAGAGGGGCCTTGCGTGAATGACTGTGATAGTGTGTTCAGGAACTCAGACATGTGATCGACTCAGTTCTGTGCACCTGAAGCTCTCAGCAAAGATCCAGAAGCAAGGTCTTACTCTAATGGAATTGACATTTGGTACCTGCACTAGTTAGGGTAGGCTAAGCTGCTGTGACATCCTCCAAAAGGACTGGCTTACTGCAATGGAAGTTTTTTTCTCCCTCATCCCTCATGTCCAGGGTAGTTTCAGATTGGGGCAATGGGAGGGCGATACTCTACTCCATGCAGTCATTTAGGGACCAGGCTGTTGCTGACGTTAACATGGCTTCCAAGGATGCTTTGGGCATTGCCGTTTTAGTGAGTTGAGCAGAGCTTGCAGGTTGCTTGGTAGATATTACAGGCCAGCTCTAGAAGTGGCACACACTTCCACTCACATTCTCTTAGCCAGAACCTGGTTGCATGGCTGCTCCTTGATGCAGGGGAGCCTGAGAAATGTAATGCACACCCAGGAAGAAGGAAACAATGGAGGTTGGACTGCAGCTTGGACAGCTGCAGTAGGCACTTCTCAGACTCCTGAAGAAAGGCTGTCCATCTCCCAGCCATTTGAGATATATGTGGATTTTGAAGTAACTATGAGATCTGAAAATCCCAAAGGAGCTCCATTCTCTAACTGGAGAGTCTCATCGAAGTCACTACCAGGTTAGGGATGTCTCTTCCCTAACTCTGGCCAGTGGCTGTAAGAGAAGAGCTTAGGCAGAGAGATGAAGGGTGAACTGGAATTGTGTCTAGAAAAAGCATTTGTGAGATGGAGGTACTTTTAGAAAGGAAACAAGCTCAGAAAATAAACTCTAAGGTTCTGCAGTTAGCATATGGCAGAATGGAGACTAGAACCCAGTGTTCTGCTGGGCTCCACACTGCCTATCTGGTCCTTTGGCTCCTTGCTGAAAAGGTTTTTTTTAAAAGGCCCAAGGTTAGAACATTATTGATGAAACTGGTGAAATCTGAATAAAGTCTGGAGTTTAGTTTATAGAAATATGCTGATGTTAATCTTTTAGTTTTGACAAATGTCCATAGTTATGTGAGAAATTAACAGTCAAGGAATTTGGGTGAAGAGTAATGAGACTCTCTGTATTATCTTTACAACTTTCTGTAAATCTAAAATTTTTCCAAAATAAAAAGCTTATTTTAAAAAAAGGCCTCAGAGAATATAGGCTCTGGGCACTGGATCCTACTCTGAGTTACTACTTTTGAGTTTATACTTTTGTAAGCCTGCCCCTTTCCTTGGCCAGAGGTGGCAGTACATTCAACTTCTAGCCCATTGTCACACCTGTTGTACACAGCTGGACTTTATTTCTGTACGGGTTCAGGTTTTAACTTCACTTTTGTGGAGTCCTACAGTGTTTCTAGGGAACTGTTTGCTTTAAGAAACTATTATGGATGGAGTGTTGTATTTCCCCAAAATTTATATATTGAAATCCTAGCTCCCACGGTGATGGTATTAGGAAGGGGAACTTTGGGAGGTGATTAGGTCGTGAGGGTGGAGCCCTCATTAACGGGATTGGTGCCCTCGTAAAAGAGACCCCAGAGAGATCTCTCGCTCTTTCCGTTTCGTGAGAACACAGCGAGAAGCCGGCCCTCACCAGACACTGAATCTCCTGGTGCCTTAACCTTGGACTTCCTAGTCTCCAGAACTGAGAAATAAATATTTGTTGTTTAAGCCACCCAGTCTATGGTATTTTGGTCATAGCAGCCTGAATGGAGTAAGAGGCCCAGATGCTTTGGAAATCTTAAACCACAATTTTTTTCTGTAACAAAGGAATTTATTATAAGTTTTCAAGCAGAGACTGAGGTGGAGGGGAAGCAGAAGGATTCTGTTCCATGTGATTAGTAGGCATTGGTGGAAATTTATAAATTCCTCCTCCCTCCCATTTCTCTGCCCTTATGTGTGTGAGCACAGCACGGAGACCTCCAAGCCTGTTCAGCTGGTAGATGGCTGTCATTTCCTAGTCTGGCTACTAGAGGGCAGTGTGACATGCCTTTTCTGGACTGGGGAAAGCATGGCCTTGGGTCTATGCATGTTTTTCAAAATAATAAGCCTTACAATCTCTCAAGGATATAGGTGGCTAAATTCAGTTGCCTATTCCTCCACTTCTTATCCCTACCTTAGATCCAGAAACATAATCCTGTTTTCAATATGGTAAAGATTTTCAAGAGAGAGACCTGGTATTTAGATTTTGATCAGAATCTCCCTTACTTGGACTTTGGAAAACTTTCTCTATATGGAACATATTTTTTTTTCCTTTTAATCAAATTCAGACCCTCTTGCTCTCTTTCTTTTCCTATACTTTGTTCACTCTGAAGTTTAGACTTAAGAAGCGGTGAGCAATACTAAAAACTACTGAATTGTACACTTTAAAGGGGTGAATTTTATGGTATGTGAATTATATCTCAAAAAATGTAAAGAAAAAAAGCAGCAGTGAGCAGACACTGTAGCTCAAAGAGAGTGAAATTAATTGATGGTGCTGACTCGAGAAGTCTTGATGCTTTGCCATTGACTCAGCAGTAAGAGAGAAATGCTCTGACCTCTTTTTCCCTCAAGTTTTCTGGAACACATTGACCTTCTAGGACACGGAGTGCGTCATTCCTTTCTCAAGAGGTTACCCTTGCCCAGTTAGTGTCAGAGGGCTGGATTAGGGTTAGAATGTGCCTGGGAAACCTAAGGGAGAAAGCTGAGTCAAGGCTGTGAGGCAGCTGTCTTGAGACCTGGGTTTTAAGTTTGAGCTGATTAGGAGACATATGTCCTGAACTGTGCATTTTTGCATAGGTTACTTGGGTAGTTTTTCTCCCAATTTTTTTTTTTTTTTTTTTTTTTTGAGTTTTGAGTCCTGTTTTGGCATAAGTACTTCTGGAGCTGGCTTTCAGGCAGCTGGACTGGCCTGTAGAAATAGATTATGGGGCCAGCTTGGAGCTGAGTCATGTCTCCCCTATGACACTGGCTTTTTTTTGCCATATGCAAACGACATTACTATATCTGGGAATGACTTAGTCTCTCCTTTGTATGTTTTTCGTTGCTCAGTGGATGGATTGTTCGCCTTACGTTTGATGCTGTTGGCTTGGGGCTTACACAGTTTTACCCTTTCAGAAAATAAGGGCATGTAGGAGGTCCTAGTGGTAGTTTGATCCTCAGCTGGTGCCTGTAAACCCATACCCTTGGGAGGGGACAGAAAGCAGTCAGCTGAAAAAGGAGTAAATCTTCCCCTCCTTGCATATTATCTTCAGTACCCTCTGTCAGCTCAGGAATGACAAGGAGTCACAGGTAAAAATGCAGTGTCTAATGCTCAGTAAGCAGGGCCTGTTTTCTTTCTTTTGCTTTTGGCAGGAGAGAAAAACATTTGTGCAGAGAGATTAACTTGCTCAGAATCGCTCTGAGTTGGAAAACAGCCAGGATTTAAACATCAGGCTCCTCTCTGTGCAGTCCCCACCTCCCCCATCCTCACCCTCGTAGCAAGAAGGTGAGAGGGGACTGTCCCCTGCCCGCAGCAGGAGTTCTTACCAGAGACTTCTCGTACCCTCTGTCATGAGGGTCTCCATAGCATACTTGGGGCTGAGTTCCGCAGTCCTGGAAGAATTGCTTGCTGGTAGTTTCAGTTTGGAACTTGGCTTTGAAGACCCTGAGTGTGCTAGAAGGGCACTTACACTTGACTCTTTTTGCCAGGAATTTGGGAGGAGATAAATAAGACATCTGGGAAGAGAGAAATGCATGTCTGGGGAAACAATGATAATGATTTTAATTGCTGTCTTTTGTTAAGTACTTACCATGTATCAAGCATATGTTAAGTATGTACATACCTCACCTCTGTGGTCAGGGAGACGTTAGAGTCTGTAAGTGGCTGCAAATTCCTGAAAGCCAAATTTCTGGATTTCCCAAGAAAAGTGGGGTTGGGAGGTCCTGGCAGGGTAAATCCTTTCCCTTGTTCCCTGCCCCCCGACCCTCTTGGGTTGAGGGAGCATTTGGGACCCTCATGCTGATTCCCTCTTAACAGAGAGCTTGGGCACTTTACCCTGGTCCCTGTGTCTTCGTCAGTCTTGGCAGTGCTCTTCCCACCCAGGATGGTCATCTCCTGCTTCCGCCAGCTCGGCTTCTGATGCTGATGCGTAGTGGGCTGCCAGGGGCAGTGTCCTTTTGCACAGTCGGGATATATTTGCTGCGTGGGGTAAAAATATTTCTACAAGTTGGAATCTGTACCTGTGAACCAATCCAGGCCTGCAAATAGAAGGGCGCTGTGCTATCTACATACTTTCTTTGCCTTTCATTTGTGTGTCTGCCTGAACTATACAGTGTATTTTCAGGTAATTTCGAATGAAAATTTATTTCCTCTCTGAAAACAAAATTTTAATTTATTTTATCTCTGTTTCTTTTCACACTCCCCAGTTATCATGCTAAGACCCTGCAGAGAGGATGTGACTCCTGCAGCCAAAGGATAGGGCAATGGAGAGCATTTCTACAACACCCTGTTAGGCAGCTGGAGACTATAGCTTAGAGAATGTGGATTTGGCAAACAGGAGCTTGCTGGCAGGGAGAAGAGATGTTCTTGTTGCTAGGCTGCCTGCCCTGGTCACTTTGGTGTGAAGATTATCCTTTCATCCACCACTTTGGAATAGGATGGTGGTTTCTGTAACATTTATGTGACACTGGCTTTGGGTTGGAGCTGGGCCTTCTAACCTTTCAGGGATGAGTCAGAGGGATATAGAGGGCCATTCTGAGCTCCAGGGGAAGCAGGCTTTGATAGGGAAGAAGCCAGGACAAGGATGGCCAAGTGGAATGCCTGACTCTTCATAGTTTCTTGGGTCCTGGATAAGCCTGGCACTCTACCTCCTGGCTTGCAGTTAGAGTTCGTGTCTCCCAGGGAGGCATGGGGGAGGAGGCTGACCCTCAGTTATGAACAGCATGCAGTTTGTCCTTGCCCAAAGCTTATGTGAGGTGAGAGGACTAAGTAAATTTGAACTAGATGGAAATCCAAGATTCTACAACAGTTAGTCCTTTGCTCTGTTGCCTTCTACAGCTCTGTCTCTGAATTGAACCAAAGCCTGAGTTCTGAGCTTTCACCTTTGTCTTGGGAAATAGGGCCCTCCTCTGTCCCCTTCCCCCAGGGCAAGCCTGCAGCTTGCCAACAGTTCTGGTTACTCACTTGATCCCCTGGCTGTTTCTGTCTGGGTCAGGTTCAAGGACTGGACTCCACCCTGGGGCTTGGAAGTCACTGATACTGGCTGATACACTCCATGTAGCCTGGACGCACTGTTGGTGCTACTTTTCTGCCCAGAGTGTGAACTGGGAACATCAACTGACCAAGAGGAGGGTTCTGGAAGGAAATCTGATGAGTAGTGGTCAGGTACTGGTCACCTAAGGGATCAAGCAAGTGTGGAGGGGGCCTCCTCTGTGTGGGAAAGTCATGAAATTAAAGGTAGGGATCTGGACCCCCTTGGCAGCCTTGGCTCCTGCGTGGCCGGCTCTACTTAACTAAGCCTTTTATAATGGGAATAGCAGACCCAAAATATATCAGCATTGCCTGCTCCACCACTCTGACCTTCAGGGTTGTCTCCCCAAGACCAGAACTACAGAATCCTTAGTGCAGAATCCCAGAGTGGCCTACAAGCCCCTTTTGAATCCTCTGAGCTTTGAAAGCCTGGATTACACGGCTGCTAGTTGGTCCAGCCCAAACAGGAAGGAGGGTGGGCTGGGATGGGGTCATTGGTATGATGCCCTCCCAGAGGGGTTCTGGCTGACCATGTAGTCAAATGTTGCCTGAAGGGCTTTTGACGAGAGAGGGCCGGGGGCCCTTGTTGCTTCTTGTATTCTCCTGGGTTGGTGGTTCCCACCCCTGGGATCTGCCTGGGGGACAGGAGTGCCCCTGGGTAGGGTGAATGGGGTGGGTTGGGAACGGAGGGTTTAGTTACTGCTTTATGTGGAGTGCCACTCCTCTATCCCCTATTACCCTGCACTCCGCCCAGCTGAGTCTCACCTGAATGCAAGGGCATCTCCCCGTGGTAAGTCTCAGGCTCCATCTTCCAGGGCTTGTAGCAGGCCCCGTAGGTTGTACTGAAGGGGAGCCATTGAGGGTTGCAGTGCTGGCTGAAGTAGCTTGGGGGTTGCATCAGAGTAGAGCCTTGGGAAGGGGCTCCACGCGTTATTTTATATGTCCTGGGGCTATTTCCTCCTGGGCTTCTGACTCCTGCAAAGCAACCCCCCTGCTGCTGCTTCCCCATAGGGGAAGTTCTTTTTTGCCCCTTTGTTCAGTGGGGTCCTTCTTATCTTCCCCTCATTAATAGGGGAAGTCAGTGGGGATCAGACTCCTAGAGTGAGAGGTCATCGGAAACTAGGCTGGTGCTACCTTCTAGCAAGTTGCTTAACTTCTCTGAGCCCCAATTTCCTTATATGTGAGAACAGGATAATAATCCTTTCTTGGGTTATTGAGAGGATCTGAAATAAAGTATCTAGCAGTGTCTGGCATGTAGTAGGTGCTTAATAAATAGTATGTTCTCTTAAAATGTTAATATGATATTTCAAGAGCGTGACTGCTGCATCAATGGCACGTGTCCCTGTTGACTCCACTCTCGTCTCCCTCCTGACCTCACCTGAACACCAGGATGGCTGTTCTCTGGCTGGGTTTGGAGAGCCAGCATCTCTTGCTGGGTGGAATTGAGAGCTGTACTCTGAAGAAGGGTAGCAAGTGGGCGAGGTCTTCTGTCCCCGGGAGAGGGGGTGTCTAGAGCAGGGGGAGGAGTGTCACTGACCTGTTCCAGTGATTCTTCCCCATCTGCCTCATGGCAGCCTTCCCTTACCCACTACCCCTACTAAGGGGAGTTGTGGAGTGCTGCTGGTGGTGGTGGTATCCAGACAGGACCCAAACTGAGTCTATCTGAGGCTGGATCAGCGAGAGCTGGGTGGGGGGCTTTCTCTGCATGTAAGGGCATATGGCATTTCAAAAGCAGTTATTTTTTTGTTGTTGTTGTTGTTTTTTTTTTTTGTGAGGAGGATCAGCCCTGAGCTAACATCTGCCAATCCTCCTCTTTTTGCTGAGGAAGACTGGCCCTGGGCTAACATCCGTGCCCATCTTCCTCCACTTTATATGGGACGCCGCCACAGCATGGCTTGCCAAGCGGTGCATCAGTGAGCGCCTGGGATCCAAACCGGCGAACCCCGGGCTGCCTCAGCGGAGTGCGCACTTAACCGCTTGTGCCACCGGGCCGGCCCCAAAAGCAGTTATTTTTAATGAGCATTTTAGGTCTTTTATTTGGTGTTGAAAGTGGTGCTGGTTGGAGGAGGGCTGGCTTACAATGACGATGGTTATGGCGGAACTTCACACAGGGGGGCACCCTACCCTAGGGCTTGGTGCAGTGGCTGTGGTGTCTGTGTTTCTTAAGGGGCAGAGGAAAGAGTAGTCTCTAGGAGCACAAGAGGCTTAGAGCTGAGTCAGGGGTTTTGTTCCCTCCCTCCTTCTGGAGCTGTGGGATACACCCCACAGGACCCGTGGAAGCCCCTCTAGTTCCTCAGGGAGAGAGGGAGGGTGGAAGGGTGGCCTCCTGTGCTTGCCACACTAAGACTCAGCATTTGAGGTTCAAGGGTGGGAGATTGGGAGAGGGTGGGCTGCTGCTTTTTTAGAAGCAGCTCTTTGGCTGGCAAAGAAAGAACATTTTTGATTGACCAGTGTAAAGTGGAGGAGGCAGGGTAGGGTTCTGCAGGATGGAGAAAGGGGCTGCTAAAGGGCCATTTTACCTATGGATGGATATTGGGGGGCTGTGGTTACAGTGGGGAGCAGGTAATGAGAACTCTATGGGGAGGACTGCCCTTGAACCATTGAGGTCCAGGCACACCCTGAGCCAGAGCAGTACCCAGGACAGGAACCGTCCTGTGTCCTCTGCCTGTCAACCCTGCATTAGAGGGACAGAAGCAGAGAGCAGGAGCTTTGGGGATGGGTAGGGGAGTGAGAAGGGGGATGCCAGGTAGGGGGGTGTTTAGAGGACACACCCATAGTCACAGAGCCCACAGAGATGGCTGAAGGCGGGCACTTTGGCTCACTGGCTTTCTGGGTCATATTGGCAGTAGCTTCTCTTGTTCAGCCCTGTCCTTTGTCCCCCAGCTCCTGACTGAGTGCCTGTGCTTTGGCATATTGGCGTTGGTTCTGACATCTGGTGACTTAGGTTGCCCTGGACTTCCTCATTGAATGTGAAAGCCACTGCGCTGGTTTTGGGAGATGAGGTGGAGGCAGCTATGTTCCTAACAACAGACTGCTGTGACCAGCAGCTAGGGGAGGGGGTGACTGTGGAATTGCTCCGGTCTCAAGATTGTTGGGCCTTGTCTCTGCCATCAGCCTCACGTCCAGCTCTGGATCTCCACTGTATGTGAGATGCGTGTGTGCCCAAGCTCTGGCCCTTCAGATGTCTGTCTTTCCCTGCCCTCATCTCGAATCTCAGTGTTGGAATGTATGTTAACAGACTTCTATTCACTACACTTTCCACACACCAATTAATTTAAAAGTATTTTCTATCAGTTTACTAGCTCAACTGCTCTCCCAACCTCTGGTCCCGTGGAAATGCAGTGCTAATTATATTAATCCTAGAATCAGAGTTGGAAAGGGTTTTAAAGAGACCTAATCCTCACGCCTACTCCAGTGCTGGAATCCCTTGGCAAATCATATTTCTGGGAAGTGCCACTCCCACCCATGTTTGAACACTTTCTACCCTGTCACCACCTCGTGGGACATATGTATTCCATTCTTGGGTAACTCGAGCTATATTCAGTTGTATTTCCCTGTGGCTTCACCATTTGTCTGAATTATCATCTTGGGGCTTACAAAAACAGACAAATAACCCCTCTGCTACTTGACAACATTTTAGATGTGTGTGGATAAATTTTTCTTCCCATGCCCTACCTGCTACCCTTCCTAGAGCCTAGGAGGTTAAGGTAATAGGAGGAGAATTTTGTATTGAAACTTATGCAAGAAAGGAAGCAGATAATTTTTGCATAATAAGGTAGTAGGAAATTAATCTTCATACATAGAGGGTTTAATTGTGTTTACACATACTTCACATGGGGCCTCTTCCCTCCGCTCCACCCCCAATCCAGCAGCAGAACCAAGCATGACGACCCAGCTAGAGGCTGACATGAGAGGAAGAGGTGGTAGGAAAAGGATGAAGGACTGTAGGAGAGGACCGAGGTGGTCAGCAGAGAGCGTCTGGGGGCATGCTCAAGTTAACCTTGGAGGGTGGTCTCCAGGTGGGTCTCAGCATCACAATAAGGGACAAACTGAATAGAGGAACTATTCCTGAACTCTACCGTCCTGCAGGTGCTGTGTGGGTTGGGATATAGCCCATGAACCTGAAGCAGGACTGAGGGAATGATCTCTGGGATTCATTGTGTTTGAGTGGCTGACAGTAAGACATTTCCCCCTTAACTGTGGCATCTCCTGTATGATCAGGAAGTAATGTCACAGTTATGTTGACAATAGAAGAAAGCTGCTGGGCCCATCAGACTCTTTTCCAGTTCCTTTAACCATCCTTTTAATGCATGATGTTGAGTCCCATATTATCTTCTCTGAACTCACTCCAGTTTGCTGCTGACTGTTTTAAAGTACAGCAGCTGGCTTGAGTCCTAAGGCTCTGGGTGTTCTGATCAGAGTACAATTGGACTATCACTTCCCTCCATCTCGATATTATACTGTAGTCAGTGTATTTAAGGTTGAATTAGCTTTCATGGGGACCACCTCCCACCATTGATTCCCACTGAGCTAATTATTGTCAAAAGTTCCCACAGCTCCTTTACACATGTTTGAGATGTCGCCCCAACTCCTACTTGTGCAGTTGGTGTTTTGGACCCAATATAGTTGCCTTCAGCCCCTAGAAATCTCACTTTGATGTTCTTCTACACTTTCTCAACCTGCAAGGTAGTGGGATGGTGGGCTTGTCCTGGTTTTTCTTGGTGCAGGAGAGGAGGCTGAAATGGAGTTATTTGGGCCCAGTCCTTCTCCTGAGGCTCAGGTTAGCCCGGCCAACATGGCCTCACGCTGGAGAGGACTTAACTTCTGAGTCACAATGTGGGAAGTCTTTCGATGTGGACTAGAGAAAGTGTTGACATAGACAGACTCAAGCAACCACCTGCGGTGCTAGGAGACCCCCAGCTGATGTGGCAGGGGCCGGAAGGGCCCTGTCTGCCCAGGTCTGCTTAGGGACGCAGGATGCAAACTCGTGCCACTGCTTCCAGTGCAGCTTCTGCTTACCGAGTCAGCCTTTCTCTGAGTTTTCATATTTTTTGGGTTGTGAGGTCCTATGGCGAGGACTCTTATTCATTTTCTTATTCTTACTATTTTCTTATTCAGGTCTCTTATTCATTTTCAAATCCCTAGCTCCTAGCCCAAGGCATTCTACCTCAGAATTAATAGCTATCATTTGTTTAGTGCTACTATGGGCTAGGCACTCTCCATATAGTAATCACATAAAACCCCAACATATTTGATGCTGATATTTCCATTTTTCAGATGAGGAAACTGAGGCTCAAGACCACAGAGCTACCAAAGCCTATGGTCTTTGTCTAAATGAATGAATGAATGAATGAGTCTTGAAGGGGTTACTCTGGGTGAGAGTAGGCCAAAGTGGGTTCAGTGTCTTCAGGATGCCCCTTCTTCTCAGCTTCTTAGTGGAGGTCTCTAATCGGCTGGGCTAATTGATTGTCATGGTCGCAACATGATGTGAATGCTTAATTAGCACATGGACCTCCTGTCAGATATTTATGGAGTGGCTCTGCCAGCCAACCCAGGCCCAGCGACAAGGAGTCTGTGGCTTTTGTGGGAGCAGGGTGGGGGAAGCATGATTATCCCAGTACTGACAGGGGAGACTGAGGGCAGGAACGTCCCCCAGGGTCACGTGGGAGGCAGAAGGAGGATGAAGCCCTTGTCTACAGGATGTGTCCAGTCTCCTAAGCGTTGTATCAAGGTCCCTTGCACCTGACCTGTCGGCTCCTTCCCTGCACTCTCTGGACTTCTTACTTCCCTTGGTCAAATACCACTGGTTCAGGCCTCTCTGCTTTTCCAAGTTGTTGCTTCTGCCCTGTTCTTCCTCTCCCTAGCAGAACCTTACTCATCCTTCAGAGCCCGGCTCAAATGTCATTTCCTTTGTGGCGTTTTCCCTGGCTCCCTCACTACCAGCAGAAGGGCAGAATTAAATGCTTCCTCTTTGGGTCTGTTCCCATAAGTATATACCTGACTCTAGTATAAAGCTCTTTATATTACGATGAATTGTGGTGTGTTTCTCTCCCCCTGCCTGACTTAGAGCTTATTAAAGGCAGAGACCTCAGTCTCCAGCATCCAACACAAAGCCTGGCCTATAGGAGACACTCAATAAATATTTTTTGAATTCAGCTAGACGGTAGGTTGAGGTTCCATTGCAGGCAAGAACTGGGCAAGTGTGAACTTCCAGAACTCAGCAAGTGATGTGCAAGTGTAGGTAGGGCATTTTTGAAATCTTTCTAAGCATTTTGTGGTCCTTATTTTTCCTTTTCACAATAATCCTCTCCTACATGGGGAAAAGGGGGACAAAAATCCCAATTTGGCCCCAACCACATGCCTGGGAAGAGTCTTGACGTTAGACTGGAGGGACAACGGTGGAGGCATGGGCCTGAAGCCCAAGGGCCAGCCACCCAGGCCACGAGCTGCTTGAGTGCAGACGTGGCTTCCCCTGCCTCCTGCAGGGTCTGGCCACGGGCCTCACGTGGGAGGGGTCCTGGGGAGTGGGAAGGCAGTGCAGGAAAACCCATGTGCACCAGCCTGGTTTCTCTCTTCCTGCTAATCTCGCAAGGCTCTGTGGAGTAGGGACTATTGCTGTTGT